GCATGACCAGCCACCGTGGCGACTCCGGCATGGCAAGGACCCCAATGGCCAAGGCCACGGAGGGGATTGCACCCACTCCAAGCATCATCCGCCACCCCAAGTGCGTCGAAAGCTTCGAGAATGCGTAATTGGATACATATCCCAATAATACTCCGATGTTGATGAACACCTGCGGACAGAATCCTTGTACTGAAATTCAAATCTAAGGGATGAAATAGATACTTTAAAATGTTTAAGGTCCATTTTAGTACAAAATGATAAAACTGAGGGACCAAAAAGTTATTAAACAAAAAAAAAGGATCACAAACCTCAGGAAATGAGGTGAGGAAGCCACGGGTGGACGCTGGAGAGACCTCGGCGGTGTAAACGGGAGCAATCATGAGGGCGTAGCCGACGCCGATACCAGCCACGAATCGACCCACCATGAGGAAAGCATAGTTTGTAGCAGACCCCATGAGGAGAGCTCCGATGAAGAAAATGCTACCTGCGAGCACGATGGTGTACCGGCGACCAAGCCAATCCGAGGTTCTTCCAGCAGCGGCGGAGCCGATTAAGGAATACAAGCTGAGTGTGCCAATAAGTATTTCCACCTGAACGTCGCTGATTTTGAGGTCTTTCTGGATGTAGATCGCAGCTCCACTCATCACACCGATGTCTGAATTCCAAAAGTTATAAACAGACCAAAAAAATGGAAAAAAATTTGTTAAGCACGATGTCGGACGAAATCCACACCTTTCTTCTTGGAGAGTTGAATTCACGTGGATAAGTTCAAAGAAAACTTATATATTATGTAGAATGTTTACTCGATCTATTGTGAATTAATTTTATGTCAGGTCTACTTGCTTTGTTAACTTATAGTTCGTTAAATTTTCTAGTGTCATCCAAATTATAATACGTATAGAAAATGATTTTCCCATTAAATATTTTGCGGGGAAACAAATAAATGAATGGAAACAGAAAATTTTAAGCTTAAAAAATAAACAGAGGACTTAATTACCATAACCAAGCAAGATGGAAGTCATGGAAGCGAGTATGGCACAAACAAAGGCAAATTTGTTTCTTTTTGGCCTTTTTACAGGTTCAAAATCTGCAAGGACTTTGTCTGAAGCTAGGAGGTGGCCGGAAACTGCATCATGGTGAGGTCCGGCCATTATCTCTGTTTTCTGGTGCAGAAAATGCAGAGAATTAAGAAGAATTTTGGGGGGATGGATGTTAGTAATTAAGCATGAGATATGGCTGAGGATGCATGTAGAGTACAAACATGAGATATGGTTGAGTACAAGCATGTGGAGTACAGATATGATTAAAAAAAGCAAAGCCGCCCTGGTGTTTTTCTTTTTTTTGGTACAAAAAGCCGCCCTGGTGTTTTTTTTTTTTTGGTAAAAAAAGCCGCCCTGGTGTTACATCAGCTAAGTGGACCACAAAGACTTGACAGTCTTATGGCCACTAATTCTGTTAAGTGGGTCGAAATTGTATTTAATTTAGTTGATGTTTGTAATTTTTTTAAACAAATAATTAATGTTTAAAAATATTAATTTATAAATTAATTTAAATTTATTAAATAATAAATATTAATTATTTATAAATTATTAATTACTTTTAATAATTAAATTAAATTAAATTAAATTAACATTTTTAACATAATTTTAATGACTATAACCATGCTCAGAAAATTTTTTTAAAAAATAAAGTGGGCCACAGAGTTTTATAGTGTGGTGTTTAATTGAGGAAACGGAAATTCAGGACTCCTTGGCAAAAAGAATGCCAGGACGGCCATAAACGATGTCGTTTTGACAAAAGGGCCAGATTATGCGTACTTGTCACTTCCCCTCCGAAGTTCCTTCCTGCTAAATCCTAAACACCGTCACCACGAAAAGCGCTTCTGCAACCACACGGTCAGTGATGATGTAGCTGCAGAGCAGGAGTGGCTCCTCGCGAGCCAAGTAGAGGAAGACCCAAGCGATGAGGATGACGAGGAGGATGATTAGGGAGAAGGGATGGTAGATTAGGCTGAAGAAGAGGACCGGGAGAAGGAGAAGGATGTAATTGACGCGGAAGTGGGTGAGGTTCTGAGCAGGAAGACAGGGTGGGGATGGGATTTACCAAGAACAAATTTAGAAAGAAGAAATTTAGAGAGAAAAGATTTGGCTTTTTATCAAAACGACATCGTTTACCACAGTCGTGGCTTTTTTTTTGGGCCAGGGAGTCCTGAATTTCCGTTTTCTCTTTAATTAAACTTCTCCTAACATTAAGTAATTCTTTCTTCTTTTGAGTCATGTGCGATGCCGTGCCACTATCCTATCACACAAAGTTGCACTTTGCTGCATTAGTTTTAATTAATTTATTTTTTAAATTTTAAGTTATGCATAACTTATACACTAGATTAGGGAACTATTAAATTATAATGTGAGAGAATTGATTTGGGTAAAGTTTACTATTAATTTAAAAACTCTTTAAATTATGATTTATAAATTTTTAAAAATTTAAAGTTATATTGTTAATAATAATTAGTCTTTACAATTATATATCACTTGTAATTGTACTTTATTTTTAATATGAGATTGAAGCACTACAAAATATATTTTCTTAAAAGCATATTTCTTATCTATACTCCTAATATATATATATATATATATATATATAGGTTAAGGGTGTATATAGCCTTTTATTAAAAAAAAAAAGAGTTAATGATGTATTTATTGTAACTAATTTGTATTACTAATTAACATGAAAACAAAAGTTAATATTAATTTTAACAATATTAAAATTAAATTTATCTAAGCAATAATAGTTTTAAAATTAATATTAATTTTTATATTTTTTTATATAAATTAATATAAAAATACAATAAATACATCTTTAACGTGTATTTTAAATTAAACAAACCCTTTCTTAAATAATCCATTGTGTATTTATTGAGAATTTTTTCACTACAAGAAAAAGATCAATTCCTTGCATTTGTTTAGGTATTTATTTGCGTTTAAAAATGCAAGTAAAAGGCTTCCAGTATGTGCACAAACGCCACACAAAAGCTGGTGTGGACCGTGCCGGTAAATATCATCCCTGCATTTAAAGCAAATACTGGTATAAATTGATTTTCTCCTGCATTGATTGAAAACGCAGGGGAATCACTCAAAGAAACGCAGGTAATGCCCATGTCAACAGTCCCAAATTATGGATGTCTTTACCTGCAATTTTATCAAACGCAAGGCCTATTTTTGGTATTTACCTAAATACTGGGATTTTTTTTTTCTTTTTGTTTTTGGCTTTTCACTACATTTTGGTTACCAAAACATTACCGTCGAGATCGTTTCCGTTCTCCTCAGCTGAGAAATCCAAGAATCCACCACTACCGCCACGGATTGGTAGCAGCGACGGAGTCTCAAGAATCGGTTGAGATACGAACACGTCATCTCTAGAGTTGTATGACTGACTGCTGAATATTGGCGGCGAGTCATAGACTGAGTCCTTGACTGAGCCAACGTCGAAGTTGGAGAACGAGTCAAATCGCTGAGACGGAAGGCAAGGTTCGTAGCCAATGAAGCCATCATCATCGAAGGGACGAGACCCCATCATTTTCTGCTTTTGTCTTCCCCTTCGACACCCATCGATTGCTGCGATTACGGCGAGTCTCAAATCCACCAAACGAAATCCAAGATGTGATAATACTCGATGATAACAACAACAAACTGAATTGAAGGATAATCAAAATGAAATCAGATGAGGATAATCGGAATCGGAATCATAATAAGAAGGTTTAAGTACCATTTTGGTCCCTCAACTTTTCACTTTGGCACCAAAATTGTCTCTCAGCTTTAAAAAGTATTAAAATTATCCTCAAACTTTTATTTTTGTATCAAAATGGTCCTTCTGTCAGTTAAATGACAAGTGGCACGTTAAAATGCCACCAAATCTTTTTTTTTTTTTTGAAAAAAAACTGATGTGGAAAAGATAACACACGAAAATTAATGAGATGACACTTTATTTTGTTTATGTGGCATTTTTAATTTTAAACAAATAAATAAAAACCATTTATTATTAATTAATTAAAATCATTTTCAAAATTAACCTTCTTCTTCCTTATTCTCCCTTTCCTCTTCACTCTTCCCCAACATTTCTTCTCCT